TGTTGGCTGTATGCGGAAATGATGCTCTTAGAGATCTTGCTTCCCCGGGAAAGAGTGGAAGCGTCTTTTATCTCACTCAAGATGATAGATTTATCATAAAGACAGTGAAGAAAGCTGAAGTCAAGGTTAGTTGCCCTCAATTTGCTAATCAGTTGTTAATTTTACTATCTAAAATTTGAAGGGCAACTTGACCTGAAAAATCTGGTTTTTAATGTTCAGGTGCTTATCAAAATGCTCCCAAGCTATCACCGACATGTTTCTCAGTATGAAAATTCTCTCTTGACGAAATTCTATGGCGTGCATTGTATCAAACCTGTTGGCGGGCAGAAAGTATGTACACATTGGATCAAAGATGGATATTATCATTGATGTACACTTTTTCTGTGTTCTTACCTGTTGCGATTCCTTGTGGATGCAGACTCGGTTTATCGTCATGGGCAATTTGTTCTGCTCGGATTACAGAATCCACAGGCGTTTTGACCTGAAAGGGTCCTCACATGGGCGGTCTGCAGAAGATTCCAAGGGAGAAATTGATGAAAACACAATACTCAAAGACTTGGATCTCAATTTTGTGTTTCGCCTAGACAGAAACCGGTTCCAAGACTTCATCAAGTAGGTCTTTGCAATGCCGGCTCAAACTCAACCCCTTTTCCATAAAGAACGTTGCGAGTAAAACTAATGCGTCTTGATTAATTTATCAGGCAAATTGGCCGAGATTGTGAATTCTTGGAGTCTGAAAGAATAATGGATTACAGTCTCCTGGTTGGTATCCACTTTCGTGAGGATAAAACGGGAGAAAAGTTTGGGTTATCACCTTTTATTCTACGCTCTGGTAAGATTTGAACCTTCTTTTTGAGCAGTTTCTTTATGTTTATTGCAATAACTCATAATCGGAGGTTCATGCTGTCTTTAGGGAACAAAGATTCATTCCAGCACGAGAAATTCATGCGTGGGTGCCGTTTCTTAGAGGCCGAGCTACAAGATATGGATCGCAAACTCTCTGGCCAGTGAGTTCTTCAATCCAGCCAGCTATGTTCTATTCGTTTTTGCATAAAGTAGCAATAACTCCTTAACAGAGACTATCATCTGTCTCTAAAGCGAACACACAAAATTTCCTGGCTTTGCCCATCACTAAAAAACACAACTTTTGAATCAGGGTAAATCACAAACAAGGCTGGAAACCTCAATTTTATCCAAAGATGAAGTGGATTTTGTACTGATCCGGAATAATCATGATGATGATTTGGTGTTTGGTGTAGGAGACCATTGATAAGATTAGGAGCGAATATGCCGGCTAGAGCAGAGCGGATGGCTAGAAGAAGCGACTTTGACCTCTACACATTGGGAAATGTCAACAACTTGATGACCAGTTCGCGCAACCGTGAGGTCTATGAAGTAGTTCTTTACTTCGGGATCATAGATATCTTGCAGGATTATGACATAACCAAGAGGATTGAACATGCCTACAAATCTTTGCAAGCCGACCCTTCTTCAATCTCAGCTGTTGATCCTAAACTCTACTCAAAGAGATTCCGTGATTTCATCGGCCGAATCTTCAAAGAAGATACCTAGCTGACCAATGTGACACGATGCGACCACGCTGCCTTAAGCTCGCTGGCCGGCACAGATCCACGCCAGTGATATTGGCCCCTTGTGAAAAGGGTTCATTCCTAGACAAACCACGCTCCAGGTTTGGTCGGACCAAAAGGGTAAATCTGGAACTTCCGAAGAGCTTGGTCCCTGACAAGAATCTTCTATTTTTGTATTGAGGTAAGTCATGTCTTGTGTTTCTCTTGTCTTCTTGGGTAAGAATTATATCATGAAGGAAGATTGCAGGGATTTGGAAGAGGGAAATGTTGGTTTAGGAGAGAGGGGGCTTTAAGTGTGTGCTTTCCCCCCCAAGAAGAAATTGTAATAAGAGTGTACAGTTTATAGAGCAATGGATTATGGAATTGGTTGGTTCTTGATGATTTAACGGAGATCCATAGAATCATATTGTATTATCTATTTGAAATATTTTATATATTTCTATATATAAATTCATTGTATGTGTGTATGTATATATATGTACGTATGTGTTGGGAGGGTCCCCATTGAGCTCATGGGATCTCTCTGTGCACTTTTGCTTTTTTCAGTGAAAGTGAGGCATTATGCTGCAAGAAAGTGTTATAATACATACATATATATATATATATATATATATATATTATATTGGCATGAAAAGAAGTGCAAATACAAAGCTTTTTTATCTCACATAACTGTGTGAATACTGAGGGGTCTTCTTCTTCCTCTTTGCCCCACTTTGACTCTCTTTTTTTTTTTTATCTCTTTTCTATTTACCTTTTTCTTTTCAGTAATTATTTAATATATTTGCCTCAGTGTAAGTTTCAAAGATGTCAATATTTTTCTGTCCATACATTTTCTTGGATCAGTTCACAAAAATGTTGACGTGGTTTGAAGATCCTGACAAATATATTATTGTATATATTACCCAGCTTTGGAGACTAAAATCTGCATCATGTACTTTTATTTTTTTAAACATTATTTGACAACATATATTTTGATATTTAACTAGTATAATTTTTGAATTTTTATCAATTTATATTGACACAAAAAAAACCCTCCCTTTTTTTCTTGTAAACAAATTAATTTTGGTTCAGCAAAAAAAAAACGGTATTGGGCCGCATAAGAAGGAAATTAGCCGCGAGAGATGGAGCTTAGAAAAAAGGGAAACGGGAGAGCATAATGGGCTTTTACGGGCCCAAAAGGCTACTTCTCAAAGCCCATTATTTTGTTTGTCTTACTTTCCAAATCCTAACCTTTTCTTTTCTATACATCAACATCATCATCATTCTTCATAGTTTGTTTTTATAAGAAGATGTAACAAATTTCGATCAAAGCCAAAATATAAATGGTTTTTTTTTTCTTATGGCAACAATAATTTAGTGACAACATTATCTTGCAAATGAGTTAGAGATTATTTATACTAACAATTGATGGGTTTTAAATCGGCCATTATCAAAAATATATTTACTTTGCTATAGAAACTTTGAATTATACCTTTTTTTATATATTTTTTTGTTATGACCATATGTTAAAATTATATGGTGATCATAGTTATACTGGTTATATCGTTTAAAACCCATATGGTGATTATATTGGTCATATTGGTGATATTAGTGATACAAAACAGATTAAAAAAGATATGATCGATCATATATAATAAAATAAGGATAGTTTTGATATAATACATCTTGAATCTACACCATGTGTTGAGTTATTTATTACACCAAACAAAACAAAAGCACTGATTGAGTTATCCATTTCGAATAAATAAAGAAAAATAAAATGAAACTACTCCAGTGGAATTTAAGACGTTGATAGATATGTCATTAATTAGTTTTATATAAAACTTAAATGCCATGAATATGATCGGGTATTACTTAACTGATATTGATGAAATTGTATAGTGACGTGTCCCTCGTGGATCGTTCTAATACATAAATAAGATTAAACTCTAATTTTTACGGTGGAGTTAAGAGTCTTATCTTTATATTAAAACAGATCCGTCTATATATGACACGTCATTTCCATTTTTATCTGTACAAAACAAACCAATAGGCCCGACGTAATATATGAATAAAATCAAAGACAAAGTTATAATATTATCTAAACAATGGGAACCATATGGAGGAAAAAAACTATTTAACACTAATTTACCAAAAAAAAAATATAGATCCAAGATATCTTTATAATTTTATGTTCTGTTTATCTTTATTAGACTGTAAAAATATGTTTTAAATAAAATTTATAAATATAATAGTTATTAAAATTACACAAATAAAACTAATAAAAAAGTTAAATTAGAGATTTACATTTCATATACGCCAAATCAGAAAATTCTTCTGATTCTGGTAGTAGAGGGGAAAGATATTTTTGCTGCCTATTGTTTGCTAAAATTGGCGAAACTCGCTTGTCTTTTTACAGAAACTATTTTTCATTTTCTTTTTTTGTTTTAAGTTCTCTGCCTCCTCTGTTCGTTTCTTCATTTCCCATTTAACAAATTAATAATCTGTCTATTTCCAAATATTTACAATAATGATCAAGATTTATTATTTGAATCCCAAATCGAATTTTATTTCATAGTTATGTTGCTTTTATGCAGCTTTGAAACTGAAAACGTTGTAAATTGTACATAGGTTTTATATTTCTATTTTATATATAATCTGTTTGCTTGTAACAATTTCGGTTTTGCTTCTATTCAAATAATTTCGTATTTAGATTTTTTATTTTAAAGATATGCTCATTGGGTTTTGATGGACTGATTAGAAAGTATTTGTTAAAAATAAATAAAAAGTTTATTGTTTATTCATTATTATTTTTATTAGGTTTTTACGATGATTTTATGTTCAATTTACGTTTTACGAAATTTTTATTAATTTAATTTAAAATTATAGTTAAATCGGCACAATTAAATATTTTTAATTCAATTTAGTTTAGATATATATATATATATTCAAACCGACGTATCCAACCATAGTATATTGCATGGCCTTTCATTTCAGCGATCTTGTCCTACTAAAAAATAAAGTCTTTCTAGGTTATCATTCCCTACCATTGGAACAATCTATTCTACATTTTCCAATCATGAATTATGTTTGAGTACACGTTTTATTTTTATTAATTACATTTTGCAATTCTTTCAAAAACATATTTCATGCCACTGATAATTGAGTTATATATATATATATATATATATAACACATTCGATTTCGAATAAAAAATAAAAATAAAAACACAAATTCCAATATTGGAAAAAGTCCAATAGAGAAGTCAAACGAGAGGATATGTCAAATGATTTTAGCCAAATACATGCAAACTCAGAGAAATTTGCAGATTCAGACTTTGCTTTGAGTCGCATGGGACTCTTTCTCTTCTTCTCGATTTTCTCTCCGATCCATGCAAAAGTTTATACACACGTATATATATATATGTATATAAATTATTAAAAAAAAAGTACATTGTTTAAACAAAAAGACAGAACCCTAAAGAGACGAGACATAGAGGAGCAGAGGGGAGAAAATGGCCAATTTCTGTGTCTGAGGAAAGGAGATATTTTCCTTCATGTACTATGGATTTCTGTTGTTTCTAACGTATTTTTCGATAGAATTTATTATTATTATTCTTGTCTCTCTGTCTTTTGTAATAAATGTCGTCCTATTTCTTCCCTTTTTTTTCATGATAAGAGAGTATTTCAAGTCTACTTCAAATATATCTCTTCCTGCATATGAGTTTACTAATTTTTAAATATTTTAGTATAATGATCATAGAATGATATTATACAAAAATATCTCCCATTTGTAATCTTGATTTCCTACATATGTTTATCCAGATGATCAGAAAGATAGTCTGGTGATATTTTGATATCATTGATCATAATGTTAAATTTATAGTGATCACACTAATTCATTATGTCCATTTTTTTATATATCACATTAATCATTTAATAAAAATACTATAAATTACACGCTAGGACCAATAAAACCAATATACTAGACTATATTTCTGATCACATAAATTGCAGTTGAAAAATGATATATGTGAAATCAAAATAGCAAATAGAGGGTATTTTTGAATGTTTTTCATATAATCCTTCTAAGAAGTGACTGGTCTAGAAAAATTTAGAATAAAGGGCAATAATATTAATATGCATATAAAATATAAAAACTATGAAAAATAGATAATTATAAAAATGTTTATATATGCATAAATTTCATTTTTTAGTGGTCATTTAACAGTTTTACCTAAATAATTCAGTTGATGCAAAGTTACCAAAAACACTCAATTAATATTCACAACATTTATTGATATCCATGATCATTATTGTTATTGTGGGTACTTCATTACTCCAAATATTGCACTTCAAATACTAATCAAATTATAAAATAAATCTAAAAATAGATTAGATATATATAATTTCGAAATACATTAAATGAAAACTAAATTAAATATAAAAGCAATATGATTCTTCCAACATATTTAAAATGAGAACTAATATAAAAATTAATTAAAATTTTTAAAAATTAAATTTAAGATAACAAAAAATACTAAAAAGATAAGTTTTGAAAGAAAAAAAAAACGATATGTGTCGACCACTACACCGAACGCATTGGAACAGAGAGTGTCTCCTCACGCCGCCAAGTAAATAAATGCAGTGATTTCATTCCTTTCTTTCCAATTGAATTTATGTTTTTGGATGGAGGAAACACATTTAATGCAAATAAGAACAAGAAACCAACGAATCCCAAAGTCCATAGCTTCTGTCGTATCTTCTCCGGATCCCATCATTTCAGATTGTACCCATTTCTTTGCCCACTCCTTTTTGTTGCACAACAAAGTTCTAAGGTTATTTTTGTAATTTTATCGCCTGTTAATATGATTTTAAAGATAAAAAATAAAATGTAAAGTATTTCTTCCTTCGTATCATTCCCTCTTTGTGTTTTCTATTGCATAATATACTAAAATTATAGATTTTATATTTATTTAGTATTTACCGATTTATTTCCGAAAAAATATGAGCGCAACACGTGACATATAACTTGACACACTGACTATATGATATTGGTCTATACGGAGTCCGAGAGAGAGCAAGTCAGCCATCGCCATTACTTCTTCTACCCTTCCTCTCCTCCTCAGGGTTTTCCGCGTCGATCGCCATGTCTGAAATTGAAACCCTTTCTTCTTCTTCGTCGCCACTAAACCCTAACGCTCCGGAATTTTCACCGGCCGTGTTGAAAATGGTGCCGTTCCCGTACAATCGTCAGTGCTATTTCCACTGTCCCGTTTTGTACTACCACAACCCTTTTTCATTCCCCTCCTCGTCGGAATTCATAAGCGAACCGCCGGAGCCCGCCGCCGGAGAAACTCTGAAAAGCTTCCATCGACCGCCGTTTGGATTTCGCTTTCTCCCTCCGAGACTGAAGAGATCAGGGTTTTGTCGTGACAACGAGATTACGATTCGTCTCGACGGAAAAACTTCCCTCATGATAAAAAACATCCCCAACATTTTCGGGTATGAAAGTTTTGATTTTTTTTCCCTACGAATCTGGAGTTTTCAAGTGAAAAGCTTTGTTTTTTTTTTTACTTTTTGCGTTTTGTGTACTTGGGTATCTAGAAAGTTTCTTTCTTTCTTTCTTTTTGTAACAGACGAAAAGATCTGCTTAAGATCATAGACGATCATTGCCGGGAGAAGAACATAGGTCGTCGTGTTTCCGACAAGATCCGTTCATCATACGACTTCCTCTATCTTCCTATGGATTTTATGTATGTATAATTGGATATGTTCTTGTAGATTAAAGATCGTTATCCGTGCAAATAATCCATGATTTAATGGATCGTTTTGTTTTGTTTTTTTCTCGATAATTTGTTACGAGACAGGAAGAGAGCGAACTTAGGATACGCGTTCGTCAACTTCACGAGCTCAATCGCTGCGGTGAGATTCTGTCGGGATTTCAACAAATTCCATTGGCCAGTTCCCGGAAACAAGAAAGTCTGCGAGATCACTCTCGCTAAGTTTCAGGTTCTTTCAATTTTTTTGGGTTTCGTCTATTTTTGGGTGGTAGTAGTTTGATTTTTGAATCTTCAATGAGATTAATATGGTACTATGGTGGTGAGATGATTAGGGAAAAGATGAGCTGACGCGCCATTTCAGCAGCTCGAGATTCGCGTGCCATACAAACGCATATCTTCCGGTGGTTCTCTTACCGCCTAGCGACGGCTTCGCCCGCTACCGACTCGATCTCCTCGGCGTTCGTGTCGGCGGCGCGTGGACTCCACCGCCTACCCTCCGTCGCCACCGCAGATGATCAGATTTCTCTCTAGTTGAAAGTTTATATGTTTGTAGGGTTTTAGGACAAAGAAAGGGTTTGTGTTTGACCCTTGTTTTCATTCTCCCCCTAGCTCGAGATACCACATAAAAAAAAGATGTGATTCTATGTGGGGTTGGTGATGACGTGGCCGCTCTCTAGGGTGAAATTGAAACATGGTGTTTGAGTTTCAACTACTTAGTTTGATGATCTTTGTCCTTTTGGGTTCAGTTTTCAGTTTGGTGTTTCTAATTTGTAATGTAATGTAATGAAGCTAAGTTTTTTTTTTGACATTTCGTTTTAGTGAATATTATATTATGTATTGTTTCGTATGGAATTTTTTAAATTAGTATTATAAAAAATTAAAAATGAACAAGACGCCTGTGAGTGATTTGAAATGATACACATCTAAAAAGTATTTATGTTTGGTGGATTTTTCACTTCTTATTTCATGAATTATCCAAGTTGTCATTTTAATCTCCCTCTTTTATATTCCTAGTTTGAAAAATGTACATTTTTACTTAAAATGTGTGTAAATAGGAATATGAACAGCTAAATTTCTATATAATTCTTCTTCTTTCACATAAACGATAATTCAATTGAATTCAAATTTGATATAAATAGAAAAATTTACTAGTTTTCTTCATCCTCTAACATAGATGGTGGAAATACACAATGTCTCTTTCGTTGTAAGAGACTATATATGAATAGCCAACTTTCCAATGTAATTTTGTCAAATTGTAATTTTGTCAAAATGTAAGTGATTATGCATATTTATACATAAATAATCCTATAAAGTTTTGTCAAATTGTAAGAAAATGATTTTGTTGATATATGTTGTGAAAGGGAAAAATTCTAACAAATTTAATCAGTTTTACAAAAATTGAAATAAAATTGAAATTTGAATTTTAATTTAAAAAAAATTGAACTCATCCAATTTTTCATTTAAATTTAACATTTAAAATTTTATCTTTTTTTTAAAAAAAATTTGATGATTTTCTAATGGGTGTAGACGTTTAGAGAGACATAAAATTAATGTGACAAACAAAAAATGTTGAATCTAACATCACGTCACTAACTATATCAACAAATTAAAAAAATATCGAATTATATATATAATCATATATACATACATACTATTATATAACCATATATGTACATAATTTGTAAGTCAATGTTTATCTCTAAAGTAGTATATTGTATTTCATTTTTTCCAATTTATATCAACTTTTCATAATTTAAATTTTAAAATTTTATATTAACTTATCATATTTTAAAACTATTATATATCTCATCGAAATCATTGTTTGTATTTCTAGTACAAATCATTCATAGTGATAATTTCATATATAGTTCTAAGGTGAAATTGAAACATGAGTTTTGGGTTTTGGCTTGGTTAGTTACTTTGGTGATCTTTGTCTTTTTTGAATCAGTTTTTTTTAAATTTATTTTCAGTTGTTTTCATTTTAGTAGTATATAATCTATTTGATTAAGTTTTTAGTTTAACCTATGTAAGAAGGATTGAATGGATATATCTAAAAGTTTTTAGATGTGTTTGATGAAGTTTCATATTTCTTCTAATCTCCATAGATTGTAATCTTGTACAAAATTTGTACAATATATGTACAAAATTCTTATAAAATCTATACATGATTTTAACGATACATACTTAAATTTATGTGATTTAAGTATATAATTTATATGATGTCTTCATTATGTTTAAAAAACTTTAACCAACTTTTTTTTTCAAATGTTTTCATTGTTATTGATATGATACATTTATGCATGCCTTGATTAGGATATTTATTGTTGTATTTCTAACCGTCTTATTTGGAAATTTATGTACACCTATAGTTCATAGTAAGTTACTAACGTATGTTTATTTGTTTAAATAGTTAAACAACATCATATCAACTTGTGCATTCTTTGTCTTGATAGTTTAGTTTGAGTTTGCTAAGAGATTTAATGATAGTTTTAATGAGATACACTTTTTTCCATCTTATATTTTCCTAGGACAAACAAATGTTCATATCATCTCTATAATAAATATAATTTTTTTTATAATTTTTTTTAATTTTAAAGATACAAATAAACAATAAAGACAAATTTTAGTTGATTAATATATTTTAATATATATTATGACGGATAATTAGTAACTGTTTTTAATGGATTCTGTGAGTAATTGGCAAATTGATAAGTAAAAAAAAAGTTAGTTACTGTTAATTGAGATTTTAATTATTTTTCAACCCATTTACAAACTTTTTATTTCTATTTTCAGTGTTTTTTTAACTTAATATATCTATCACTCACTTTTCTAATACCCAAATTTACATTTGATATTTCTTCCTTCTCTTTTTTTTTACATGAAACATTAGTTTTTTGTAAAGATAACCCTCAAATTTATAATTTAGCAAATATGTGCACGAAACCCATGTGAATATTAACTAATATATGTATCATAGATCGATATACCAACTAATATACACGTGAATTGTTTACCAAAAAAAATATATACACGTGAATATTGGCATAGAAATGCTACGCATGGCCTCGAATAGTACCATGAAAATTTAAAAATAAAATAAAATGAAATGAAATGAACGAGAGAAGAAAAAGTCAAAGGGATAAGTCAAACATGAGCACGACAGATGAAAATAGCCAAGAACATGCAAGTAGATTCAAACCCTCAGAGACGCAGCGGATGGAAGAAGATTCAATGCTTTGCTTATAAGTGCCACTCTGTCTCTACTTTCTGCAGAACACACAAAACAACGTTTTTTTTTTTTGTAAAAGTAATAAAAGATTTACTGAGAAATATTATCCCCTTTTTCTTTTATTTTTCTTTTTGAAATTTTATTGGGGAAAAATGGTTTTTATCAATGGTTTCTTTTTTTCCCCCTGAAAAACGATATACTCCTTTGTTCAATCGAATATTGTAAAATAATTTTCAATGTAATATACTTAGAGAGATATTATATATTCAATAAAAATATGCTAGCAATTTAGTATATGAATGTTTTTAGCTTTCCAAATCTATGTAGACCATAAACCTAATAAAGACTTAATTTTTGTTTTTGTTTTTTGAAGTTTTGTTTTCTACAAACTAAAATAAGAAGAATATAATTTGAATAGTGAAATAATGATGATGCTAAGTAATTCGATATAACTGTTGAAGGCAATATCTAAAATTATTTTTACTTCACAAATGTCTAAATTAATGTACGGCTGTTGACTCATGGCGGCACTAGATACACTGAGCTTCAACAAATATTCGAAAACATATAATATATATACATATAGTAAGCTTCTAAATAACATATCTGGCCCATTAAGGTTTTACGGCCCACATTTGGCCCATTCGATTACAACTCCGACTTTATCAATACGACACCGCTTTTATTTGTCTGTTTCAAAAAACCCCTTTTTACTTCTGCACCCGAGCTCCACCGGCGCCCCGACGTCCGCCGCTATTCTGATAGGAGCCACCATCTCCCCCTCCTCTTCCGGTGGCTTCACTTCTTGGACCGTTCGTGCTTCCACCGTACCCACCGTAACAGCCTCCGCCGCCGCCTCCTCCCCCTCCGCCGGAAGATGATGATCCGAATCCGAACCCAAAACCACCTCCTCCGCCGGGACCCGACGCGGTTCCCCAGTTGTAAGACCAGCTTCGGTCGGGGGCGGTTCCACGACCGAAACGGTAATCCCAACCCGGGTTCTGACCCGAATCGGAAGTTTCGCCGCGGCCATAGCCTTGACCCGCCATGTTCCTGTGTTTTGGTTGGGTTGTGGTTTCGATTATAGCAATTAGCAAAAGGGTGGTGTATAATAATGTCATATGATATAATGGAAATGGACCGATGAGTTCCATTTTGTAATTTAGTTTTCGGGTCTCCACCGCCACCGCTTGTGTTGCGGATAGATTAATAATTTGGTTCGTTGACAAAATGGGTTGCTTTTAAGTGAATTGAATTGAACCGACGGTCCTCCACTTTACATGGGACCCGTCTCTTTGACCTTGTGTGTGTTTGACTATATTAGTTTTTTTTTTTTTGAAAAAAAAGTATGTTTATGTACGCATTTTAAAATTTTTTAAATTAATACACAAAATTTTCTGATTCATATATTAAATCCCTAAATTTTTAAAAACAGTAAAATTAAATCATAAATTTTTCATGATTGGTATTTAATATTTACCCAAAGCCATTAAGCCAATGTTATGAAATTTCCTGCGTGCTGGATTCTTGCTGCCCTTTGGTCAAGATTATCACTAACATCGCCTGATTTATTTGACATTTTAAAAATCTTTCATTAATTTAATTTTTTTTTTATATTTTATTGTGGTGTATAATAAACACGGACATTTGTATGGAGTTGGGCTGTTTACATCGCGTTTCGTGGGCCTACTAGTTGGGCTCAGTAGTAATTTTTACGTCAACGAAAATATGGGCCTGATCGAAATCAGGCAAGATATGGCCCAAAATCAGGATAATTTATTTAATTCAGAGGTGATTTATTAAAATACGTGATGTATAAATTTTATGAAATAGAGTAAGAGTTCAAACGAGAACAAATACAATATTGTAATTTCTGTTATCCCAATATTTTTAAATATGGTCATGATTTTGAATTTTTTACAAGAAAATTTAGCATCTTGAGATCTCACGGCGCATTATTTTTGTCGAGTATGGTGGGTGAAATTAATAAATGAATTAATCTATAAGCTAAGTTCAATAATTTCATAATCTCTTTAGGCGGAACAAAAAGTGGTTGATATCTCACCTAAAGGGGAATCAGTTCCTTTGTTTTCTTCTCAACTTTCTTTCAACGCCATAGGAAGTGAGCTAATTGCGCCATTACAAGCAATATTTTTTCACAAACTTGAAAAATATATATATATATATATATATATATATA